TTTCCCTCTTCTTCTCTCTTTTTTTCTTCCTCCATTTTCCTGTTTCTCTGTTCTCTTCTTTTTACTCTTTCTGCTTTCCTCTTATTCTTCCCTCCTTTTCTTCATCTCGTCACCGATCCCTTACATTATCTCATCATTTTACTACTTACCTATGTATGTATTCTTATTACTTTCTCGCTCAATTTTTTTTATTTCCCAATCGTCTGTTTGTTATTCTATTTTCTCTATTTTACTTTTTTCTCTCCTCCTCTCCTTTTATAATTATAGCTTTTTGCATTTCAATTTAAGCCCCGTTTTAATCTCTTTTTAGTCTTAATAATACTTCTAATTATTACCTGATTGAGAAGTACATTAAAATATAGTCAACATCATTAATTAAGTCACTTATTATTTGCTTGTTTACTGAACTCAAATCAAGTATGAAGTAAAACTCTTCAGTTCACTCCTGCATGTAGGCAGTGCTCAACTTAACTATGTTAACTGGTCTCAAATCGATTAAAATGCTTAATTTAAAATAAAAATATGAAAATAATCGCTAAAAACGTGGAATTATAGTTAATGTTAAATGTTCAATGTTAAAACTAAAATCGAAACTAAGAGCAAAATATCTTCTTTTTTTTATATCTACATATTTCCATCATTATAACTATGTAGTATACTTATTCCTTCTGCTTTAAAGAATCTAATAATTAGTTTACAAGTCTACTTATTAAGTAACAAATGCTTCTTATTATATATTTGAATCCTTATTAATGATGCGGTACTCCATGCTTAGGCAGGGGTCGGGATTCATCTAAAGACAGTAAAATCTTGAATTTAATTTTTTTTTTTTGTATTGCAACATTTTTCCTAGTATTAATTGTTTCCTCATTTAATATGCCAATAAATTCATTGTAGTTAACTTCCTTTTTTGGTAAATTTTATAATTTTATTGTCTTCTTCTTTTATTTTATTTTATTAATTTTTTTTTTGCAAAATTTTCTCGTCGTATTTTAAAATTTTTATCTACCGCCCGCCGCCAAATCGTCATTCTCTGCGTACATGGAACGCTACATGTGCCAGAGTTTTGAATACAATTTGAAATAAATAAAATTGAATTGTTTCTTTATTTAAGTATTAATTTTAAAATATAAAAATTTGATTATAAACAACGACGAATGTACAAGCAAAAATAACAAACAAAACCCCCAAAAAAAGAATCGGATCTATAAAGAAAAGCATTTAGCATTTCGCACTCTTCAGAATAAACTCAAAATATTGTGGGAGTGAGGTTGTATGTGTCGTTATTGAGAGGTTGGGTGCTTGGGTGTTTGGGTGGCTGAGTTTGGGGGTACCTAATGAGACAGTGGCGGAATGCTCGCGCTCGTTTTCGATGATTTTGACACCAAGCAGCCATTCAGTTAGCGTACATAGCCAAGTCTATTAGGTTGGATTGGCTCAGATTGAATAGCTATATTCGTAATTGGCTCGTCGCAGTTAGTCAATTTAGTCTCTTGTCGAAGTCGGTCGTATCGAAATGCGTTTAAAATACTGAATACACTGAACTGAGCGTCAATAAAACAAAATATTTTACGTTTTTTTTCTTCTGATAAATTCTTTTCATTAAAAAATTTATAAAACAAAAATATTTAAAAAGAAATATAAAGAAAACAATTTTATTTATAAAATCGTGTAAATTGCGAAATATAAAAATAAATATTTTTTTTTAATTAAAAAGGAAAAATACTTTATTCAAGTGAAAAAGTAAAAAAAAAATTCAATAGTAATGACTAGCTTCTTTCGACTGTTATTTGTAAGAAATTTTTTTTTTCATTATTTTTTATTATTTATTTATAACACAATATAAAATATATAATAAATATGAAATATAGAAGTCCGTATCGCGCCGTTACTTTTCACTTTATATTTTAAAATGTGGTTTCTTCTTATCTTAAAGCTTAAAGTATCTAAGCAAATTAAAAACTGTAGCAAAACAAAAATAAAGTTAACATACGAATTTTGACACAATTTTATCTGCAGTGACGAAGGCAATTTATATTATTTTTCAATTTTATAAAGTTCTTTTGTTTAGTATAAAATTAACCGTGCGAAGAAGGTGGCGAGCGTTTAGTTAAATTAAAAGTGCATAAATTTTTATTCTAGAAACTTTAAATTTTTCATTAGAAAAAAACTTATTCCAAACTTCTGAACTTATTTAAGCTAAATAAAAACATATGTTTAAACATTTGTATTTTTGTTTGATTTTAGTAAATAAACTTTTACTAAGAAATAAACATAAAGTAAATAATCATAATTTAAAATTTATAAAAATTCTTTAATAATTGAAATAATTCTATAAATTCCGAAATTCCAAAAATAAAAACGTAAATTCTCTACTGCACACTGTTTGAGAGTCTATATATTATATATAGAATGTATATTAATTAATTCAAACAATTACTTAACGTCATTAGCCTAGCAGTTTGAACGCAATCATACGTCGATATACTCGTATATTCGGATAGAGAGACCCTTCCAACGTTTTGTTTAGTTCTATTGTGTAATTCATTGCGAGAAAGGCACGTTCACACACTGCAATTCTGTAATTAATGCAAATTTCATACAAATTTTCACATATTGTAACAGCAGCACTTATACGTTTCCATACATATTATGTATATTCCATATACACTTTCAAGTAATTCGTTAAAATAGTGATCAATTCAATTTGTGCGTCGACTGCTTTCTGGTTTCTTAATTAACCTTGAATATCCTTGATGGAATGTGCATAAATTGCATTTTGTACACGCGCCGTTCAAATCGAAAAACCTTTAAATAGAATATATTTCAGGAAATAAATGACATTGATCTCTTTATAATGTTGTCTTAAAGACCATTAAATTCCATTTTATGCATGTCGAAACTATTAGTATCCCTAAATTAGTATAGAGAATGTAATTTAACGTAAAAAAATAGGATATCGGAATCCTTACCCTAAATGATAACGACAATTCCTGCGAAACTATCAGTGTCCTTTGATTCAAGAACGATTCACAGTCCAGATTCATTTAGTTTGTTTTCCTTATAAAGGATGAAACTAACTGTGTCCTTAAATTCAACTAATTTGTTTGCTTGACAACTATGAAACTGTAATTATTTTCTCAGATTCATCTTCTTCTTCTCAGTGACTGTTACTTTCCTCTGTACTGTCAAGTAATATAACATAAAAAAACATTAAAATCATTATTCTTAATGGTAACGACAATTCCTAGAAAACTATAAGTTTCCTGCAATTTACCAAATTTGTTTTCTTTTGAACTTTAAAACTATAAATACCCTCAGATTCATTTAATTTGATTTCCTTACAAACAGTAAAGCTGATAATATTCTTAAATTCAGATGACTTTTCTGTCCAGCATAAGACTATAATTATCCTTTTTTTTATTGATAGCGAAACTATATTATTTTTCTTCTAAATGCTTTGTCGGTTACAAACGTTAGCTAACATATTTGCTACCTTTAATCTGTCTACAACCTCCCAGTCGCAGAATATTAAGCTACATAAACTATCGTTTCCCAGGACCGCGACTTCCTTCTATTCTATAGTAAAACACTTTCTTTTCATTGTCTTTAGAAACTAAAATTTAAAAGTCAATCAATGTTTAATAGTGTTGATCAGGCCATCGCTTGTAATTTCTAGTAAATAACCTAGAAATCACCTTTTAATTCTTATTTTTGTACCGCTAATACAAAATTAATGTCTCTTCAAACCCAATAACTTGGCTTCTGTTTATAAAAAAGTATATCCTGAAATTTCAACATTCTTTAATATTAAAGAATTTTCTTTACCAACGCATGTAATTGCTTATGGATTTCGATACAAATTACTCTTTTAAGAAAACCGTAATATTTTTCGAATAAACCATATAACATATACGAATACACTTCTTCAGCATAAATCCTCTTTAACACTAACACACATTTTTATTTGAATTTTTAGTGCAGTTAAATCGCACTTTTTTAATTTACTTTAATTTCATCTTAATTTATATATGTGAACTAAGTTGAGCACTACCTGCATACATGTGCGGTGTGAAGGGGTTTATATCGTTATGCACTGCTTACATACGTGAATAGGAAAGTGAGTGTTTGTCTTGACAAAGTAATTAACATTAATTTCATTTAGTAGTGGGGATTAACGTTTTCTTGATTACTTTAGTGTTTGATTTAGAGAATTTTCACTTATTTACGTCTTCTTTTATTTACAGAAAACGGGAATTATTTAAAAATCGTCAATTTATTTACCAATAAATATATTTACTTTTGTTTAAACAGCAAATATTATTTAGATCCTTTTCACTTAAAACGTCACATGCTCGTCCTTCTCCTCCTTCTCCTACATTTTGTAAATGAGCTTCATTTTGATTTTTATTTTTGACATCATTTTAATATGTTAAACAATTTTGATACGACAAGTAAGAAAAGTTTTCTGCTTCTAACTTTTTATATAAAAAAGTTGGAAGTATCTCATACTCATGTTCAACTTCGTTGAAAATCAATCTTTTGGATATTTTTTTGTGCTCGAGTTGAACCCAGCAATGAGTTATCTTTGCATTCGTTGCTCGTTTGCTTTCTCCTTCGCTGATATCCTTGAAAGAAATTTCTATATTTTCTATATTTAAAACAACAAATTTTATTTGACAATAATTTGTGAAACTTTGAAGTATCCATTTCTTTTGAGTACGTTCCTACGGTGGACGTTGACAGAGGATGCAGTTGTAATTTGTAGCTTCTACGACGTGCATTTGTGACTTTTTATATGAGGAACGAAAAAAAAATTTAAAAAAGTTACTAAAAATAAAGTTTATTCAATAAATTTTTAATTAATAATTGTAAAGAATATTTAGTTTGTAGAACAAGGATATTATTTCAACTTAGTAAAAATAATTAAAAATAAATATTTGACTTTCATATTTATATTCTGTGTTTCATAATCATATCTCTTCCATTTTTCTTTTCAGGCCAGTACTGGTAAAATGGATGGCACTCCTGCATTAGATTTGAATGAAATTGTACAAATTGTCAAAGAGACAACAGTGAGTATTTTCAATTATATTTGAGTTTCAATATATTTCAAATAATTCTCAATTAATTCTGATTTATTGATTCCGAATAATTCGGAATGAAATAATTTTAATGCCAAATTGATTCTTATTAATTAAAAGTTCATGTTTAATTAATATAAATTATTACATTAATATAAATTAATTACATCAAATTAATATTTAAATATTTTTGTTTCAATAAAGGAACAACATGAAGAAAATTCGAAGTTCCTTAATCCCAGCTATGACATGAATAACACCAGCTGCAGTAGTGAAGCTAATGGACGTGGCGGGGAACTGGATTTATGTTATGCAAATAATGTTAACAACGTAACTGATAATAATGATGAAGTAAGTAACTTAATAACAAATCAATATTTAATAAATTAATTAATACATTTTTTAAATTTACTTTTTAACAGAATAATACTGAAAATAATAATACGGAAACCGCATTAAACAAACGTCGATGTGCTTTAGATGAACTAATATCCACCGAAGAATTATATATACAAGATTTATCAGATATTGTTAATGGGTATGTTGTATATAAAGTCAATACATTCTTTCTAAAACTAATGAATTTAAGTTATTTTTAAAGTTTGACTAAACTTTATTTTTCTTTAGTTCAAAGTTAAATAAAAAATAAATAAAAAAACTTACTTACGTAGCTAGATAAAGTGGAAGAAGAACCGAATCCTATTCAATTAGCTTCCTTTCATATTAATTGCATCATCGATATCCATAGACTACAACAACAATATTTGTACTTATATATATATTAATTGCATCATAGATATCCATAGACTACAACAACAATATTTATACTTATAAGTATACAACAGAGATACAGGCGTTTCTGTATGTACTACAAAAGTTTTGGTAGAACAGTTCCAGCCTGACTACATGTCCTCCTGTAGAGCGGTGTCCCATTACATCTACTATTATCTTAGATACTTCTGCTTCTGCCGTATGAATTAAGTTAGAATCCTATGAATTAAGGCTGCTGAAGTAATATTAACCCAACTTTTGTTAGCTTGTTTTGAAATGTGATCTGCTCTAAGAAATGCTGCAATTCTACGTAATCCCAGAGATTTACTTAGTAAATTTTAAAAATCAAATACAAAGCTTTTAAATTAGGAACATTCTATGCTAAATATATTGTAGGCTGCGCACATACCGGTCTTTCTAAACCTTACTCATAACTATTATGACGTTTTCGCTGATA